ATCTAATAAGGCCAAACTCCAACATCCTTATTCTGGATGTGCCAGCTAAATGTGTGTGTCTTTCCTGCCACACGCTGGATTTGTACACAGCCCGATCCAAGGTGGTAACTGTAATGATAGCCCACTATAATCTTTGCCTTTGCTCACAAGCAAGTCTGAACAGGAAATGGAGACCACATCAGCACAAACCCATGATTGCTATTCACAAATGCCCTCAGAGAACACTCTGTGCTGACAGCAGGCCAGAACCATTGTTCTAATGTGTGAAGAACAAAGTGTCCATATTATCCTGTAATTTCTCCCCTTCTCCTCTCCTTGCTATTATCCTGGTCTGGTCCATTTACTACTCTATTGCCAAGGTTACATCTGGCTTGCTGTTCCAACAATATTAACCCTCCGCTGCCTCTGCTCGGAGATCTGAAAGGCTGTTCCTGAATCACAATCAGATACGTAAGTTTGTCCAGAGTTTCCGTGCTGGCTGGTCCTTCCCTTTGCCCATCTGCTACAGTTTGTTAAAGACAGTCTCTCCACTCCATCCATGTCAATCTTCCCCATGATCTTTCCCACGGGTCCCATTCAGGATAGCCTTGCGTGGGTATGCTCTCCAAGGCTGAATGATTTAAAATCTCCCAGATGGCTCTTATGTGCTGGGCACTGGACCTTGATTAGGTCTTGGGAAATCTCTCGTTTCTCTTGTTAGAAACTGACTAACAAATGCAATTGAGAGTTTTGTAGACTTTTTTCTTGTTACTAAGACTGAGTATTCTAGAGAAACCTCAAAGAAATGCTTTGGCCTTTCTCGTGCACGCAGCTTTGGAGGAATCGGCGCAGCGCATCCACGGTTTCCCCGACTTCCCCATCCCCGGGGTGCTGTTTAGGGATATCTCGCCTCTCCAGAAGGACCACGACTCCTTCTGAGCTTTTATCCGCCTCCTGGCCAGTCACCTGAAGTCCACGCATGGCGACAAGATCGACTACATCGCAGGCCTAGACTCCAGGGGTTTCTTGTTTGGCCGCTCTCTGGCTCAGGAGCTGGGCCTGGGCTGTGTGCTCATCCGGAAGTGCGAGAAACTGCCGGGCCCCACAGTGTCTGCCTCCTATGCTCTGGAGTATGGCAAGGCTGATCTGGAAATCCAGAGAGATGCCTTAGAACCCGGGCAGAAAGTGGTTGTCGTGGATGATCTCCTGACCCCTGGAGGAGCCATGCCCACTGCCTGTGAGCTGCTGGGCCAGCTGCAGGCTGAGGCGGTAGAGTGTGTGAGCCTGGTGGAGCTGGCCTAGCTTAAGGATAGAGAGAAGCTGGGCTCTGTACCATTCTTCTCCCTCCGGCAATATGAGTGACTAAGGGGCTGGGATGGTTGCTGCATCCCTGCCCCCAGCATCTCTGGCTGGACAGTGGATCAGCCTTACCACCTAAGTAACCTTTGTGAGCCACCAGCCTTCTGTAGCTCATTTCATTCATCAGCTGATCACCATGCCTACGGACCACCTGGGGCCTGGCATTTTCTATATGTGCGGAGTTCGGGAGCAGAGCAGAGCTACTGCTGGTTATGACACAGCAAAATTAATAAACGGTTTGGTACAAAAAAAAAGAAATGCTTTGTTTATAACATTCATTTTAGATATGTTTCTTGGTTCTCTGATTTTCCTCATACTTGTTTATTGATATAATTATCTATTAGATCACCATCACCATTAAATGTTCCAGACCTCAGGGAGCCATGGGTATGAAATCACTACTGGGGAAACGACCAAGGGACTTATTCATAATGTGGCATATGGTGGCTGACGTTGTCATGCTTAAAAAATGAGGCGCTGTTTCACTGACTTCATAAATGTTGATTTATATTGTGTCTTTGCCACAGTACCATGCATTCCTGCTATGGGTCCTCAAGATACGGCAACTGTGGGCTGCACCCCTCCCTGGGCAGATCATACACTTCTATGGGAAAAGCCAACAGTCTAATAGATGAAGCAGAGTCAAGGAGAATTACTGCAGTCTCCATCTTCAAAGCCTAATGGAACCGGCCTAGCTGGATACGCACATTGAGCTAGACGGGAAAATTTATCCGTAACCTTGTTTTGTCATGTGTTTTTTAATTTGCTTATTTTGTGTTGTATTCTGCCGACAGGTTTGATTGTGTATTCGCTTATGTGTCTGGTGCTTTCAGAGGCTAGAAGAAGGCATTGGATCCCCTGGAATTTGAGTTAATAGATAAATTTGAACCACAATGTGGGTGCTGGGAATCAAACCTGGGTCCTTTGGAAGCGTAGCTAGGGCTCTTACGCACTAAACTATCTCTCCATCCCATGTAACCTTGTTTGTTTGGTTTTTTATCCTATTCCACTTTCATTATGGTACGTCAAAGGTATGGGACAGGTAGCTTATCTTTCCAGGGCTATAGGTCTGTGAACAGAGATGAAATCTGCCTGGAATTCCTTCCTTCCAGAGACCTCATCTGGACCCAATACAGATAGTGCTTTGTGTTTTTGAGCTGGTGGTATTTAGGTAAGATTTTGGACTTTGAAGTGTTGCCATGGCAGGAAAAGAATATTTGTGAATCTTTTGGAGTAAATACATATTTTATGTGTCGACAGTTTATGGGTCCCTGGGGCCTAGGACTAAACTATAGCAGTCAAAACCATACCCCAGTAACTCTTAGCCTTATAGTTATTCCTCTTTCAAGTGCAAGTGTCAAGTGTAATCTGTGAATGTGCTATCTATTGTTCTACGGCAAATTAAGATTAGCTAGATAGGTCTACCTTGTCTAGCTAATTTAATGAGCCTATGAAAGTAGAGTTTTCTCCACCTGGAGACAACAGAGATCAGTAAAAGCATAAGAGGAATTAACCTCGAAGGAGGTGTCCCTGCCAACATCAAAGGACTCTGATACTATGTTGGAAGAAGGCCTGTAAGAAGGAATGGCCTTGAGGAGTAGAAACTGGCATCCAGCTGACAGCAACAATGTGGGGCCTCCTATAGACACAAGGAACTAAATTCTGTGAACAACATAGGTGAGGCTAGAAACAGAGTCTTCCTCACTGGTGCCCTTAGAGGAGAATGAAGCAAGCTGACATTGATCTCAATCTTCTGAAACTCCAGCCAAACTTGCACCAACAGAGCTGGAAAGAACAAATTGGCATCATTACAGTCCACAAAGTTTGAGGCTGATGTCAATCAGGGGAGTAAAGGAGTATTTTGTAGCAGTCTTGCTATGTGAGATCCACATAGCAAGAGAAAACAAATACATTGACTGACTATGTCAAAAACAATATGCCTTTGTGCAAGTGAAGCCAAGTGCTAATTAAATCACCAATGACTTATTGTGCTGTCAGTTTTTCCCATTCAGCCACTATCACTTCACACAGCCCTGCCTTAAAACACGATCGAACAAGTTTCCCTTTAGCCTCTACGGAAAACTCTCATTTATTTTAAACACTATTTCAATGAAGCTCAACTACGTTGGCGTTTTATGGATTAATTTCTAGAGGAAATCAGGTGACAGCAGAGCTGGGGTGGTTGGTGCAGGGGGAGGAAGACGCATGGGTGCAGGGAGAAGGCCAAAGGAATGTCAAGGTGGCCCACTAAGACAGAGGGGGCTTACAACATGACTTCGGAAACAGCCTGAGACTGCTGGGTTCCAGGGTCAGAGATGCAGGAAGCAAACGCTCTCTGCACGGAAGAGGGGACTGGAAGCTGGCCACCACAAACTGATGTCCGAGTGTTCAAAGACCAGCCTTGAGATGAGGATTGTGCAACACACGGTGGGTGGGTTCAACAGGTAGAAATGGGGAGCATGCCTTTTCCATTGAATAAATGGTTCTCCAAGTGTGGTTACTATTCTGGTTGTCTCCGCAGCACTTGGGAGCTAGGAGAGGCAAACTCCTGAGCCCTAGAGAGTCAAATATCCATGGGAGGTGTGGCTAGGTTACCTCTGTTCTTACATGCCCCGCTGGTCATTTCCATACGCAATAACATTTGAGAAACACAGTAATAGTGTTTTCACACCTCTTACTAATGAGTGACCTGACATCTGTGGAGTCATGAGGTTATCCAAGACCCAGCATCTTCTATTGCCACATGGGAGTCTTCCCAAAAAGGACATGCTACTGAACAAGCAGCCTTGAGTTTTGATTTTAGGATGATGTGGGCGTTTTTGTAGTTTTTTCGAATGAAGAAAATTGCTTTTGTAACCAAATCAAATAAACCATCAATAGAAGCAAGAGTTTTGCTCTGTCTGTGCATTCTGATGTCCCTGTGCAAACATCACAGAATGTACAGTGAAGTAAAATGCATACAAAACTCATAGCAAGGGTGCTTCCTGCCATCAAGCAACGTGTGCCATATACAATTGTATATGCTGCTGGCAGAAGAGTTAAGTGTAGTTTTACCAGCATCACTTTTTTTAAAAAGATTTATTTATTTATTATGTATACATCATTCCTCCCGCATGTATCCCTTCAGGCCAGAAGAAGGCACCAGATCCCATTATAGATAGTTGTGAGCTACAATGTGGGTGATAGGAATTGAACTCAGGACCTCTGGAAGAGTAGCCTGTGCTCTTAACCTCTGAGTCAACTCTCCAGCCCCCCCCCCGTAGCATCATTTTTTAAGCATAAGAAATACAATGCAAAATGATATAACTACAATGTCACTAGGTGTGTTAGTTTTCTATTGTTGTGACAAGATATCTGAGAAAAACAACTTAAAGGAAGCTGGGCACAGTGGTGGCACACGCATTTACTCCCAGCGCTTGAGAGGCAGAGGCAGAGAGGCAGAGGCAGAGGCAGAGGCAGAGGCAGAGGCAGAGGCAGAGGCAGAGGCAGAGGCAGAGGCAGAGGCAGAGGCAGAGGCAGAGGCAGAGGCAGAGGTAGAGGTAGATGAATCTCTGTGAATTTGAGGCCAGTCTGATCTACATAGTGAATTCCAGGCCAGCCAGAGCTTCACAGTGAGAACTTCCCTTGAAACAACAACAACAACAAAGGTTTTATTTTAACTCCTGGTTTTAGAGGTTTAGTACGTAGTCATTTATTTGGTCAGTTGCTTTAAGGCAAGGCAAAACCTGTGAGAGAGGAAAACATTTCACCTCATGGTGACCAAGAGGTGAAGACTGGAATCAAAGACAAAACATACTCTTCAAAATCTTGACAACCCACAGTGGTGGTGAAGTCACGGCTGTAGGAGCATCAGGCAGCTGGTTGAGTCGACACTCAGGAAGCCGGAGCAATGGAGCTGCTGCTCAGCTTGCTGCTGCTTTTTATTCAGTCCGGGATCCCACCCGGTGGATGTGTGCTTAAGACACTCCTCCTTACCTCGACCTACATGATCTACAAACTCCCTCCCTTCGAGACATGCCCAAAGGGTTGTTTCCCTGGTAATTTTAAAAACATAATTCTTTGTTGATTCTTTGGGAATTTCACATCATGCACCCCAATCCCATCCACCTCCTGGTCCCTCACCCCCGCAGCATGCTCCCCAAATTAATTACAAACAAAACAAAGAAACAAACAAAAAGCCCACCTCACTCCTTGTCTTCCCAACGCCTCTTCATTCATCCTAGCGGCACCAGGAGCTGCGGTGTGTCTCGCGGTACACACACCCTTTGTCCGTCAGCCCCACCTGAAAAATGTCCATTGCAGTGAGTCACTGGTCTGGTTCAAGGCCTCTAGCACACCATCATCACTGGACCCTCACCAAAACTCCTCTTGGTTATCTTGTTGTTGCCCCAGGTCACAGGGATCCTGCAGGTGTCATTCCACAGGACCAGTCCCTTCACGGATTCCAGCGGGTGGTAGGAGGGGTAGATGTTAGAGTGGGCTACCCGTAGGCCCAGGATGTGGGTCTGGGTGGTAGCTGAGCTGGTTGGGCCACTGGGATCACCTCCTCAGAGCCAGCTCTCCTACCCCTGTGGTTAGGGATGGAGCCACCTCTCCTTCCTTCTTAAAATTCTTGTCACCATTCTACTGCCTATGAGTCTACTAATAAAATTGCCTCCCCAGAGCCCACCTCTGAAAACGCTATCCTGGCTATCAACCCTACAGCACCTAAGTTTTGGGGGAAACACATTATATCCAAATCCCATACCACTAGGCAATCAGAACTTCTCAGCTCCACTATAAATCTCTTGTATTTATTTATTTAGAGGGAGTGTGTCTGTGGGCGGTAAACACATGTAACATGGTGTGTGTGAGTGTGGGGGGGGTGGGTGGGTGTGGGTGTAATACAACTCTGTGGGCTCATCTTTCTCCTTCTGCCCTTCACGTGGGTTCTGGAGATGGAACCCGGCTGCCAGGCTTGCTTTGCAACACCTTTACCTGCTGAGTCCTCTCTTCGGCCCTCTGTTATAAAATCACTGGATCAGCATTGCATAGACTTTAACTTTGCTGATAGGAGTGGACATACTCTAAAGAGACCCTGCTCCCTTCCCTTCAGCTATCAGACTATTAAATCCATGGTCCCCAAGGAACTGGAGTTTTCCCAGGGATCTCATTCTGTGTAAAGGAGAAAGCTGAAGCCTAAAGACCACTAGAATCTCTGGGAAAAGAGATTTCACACAGTCAACAAGTTGTGGATAAGAATGGAACTGAGACAATGGTGGGTCAGGGATATAGTCTGGACCACGCCTTGGCCAGGACTGCTTAACTTCGCATACCCCTTTGCCATCTATTGAGACCTAAACCTCATGCTATGACCCTGAATGTGGACTTAACCAGTGTCATGGACCTCTTTAATTATTCCTCTTCTTTGTGGGGGTAACATTGAATCACTATCTGTGGACTGAAGCCTCTGTCCTGTGGCAGTTTAGTCCCAAATAAACATACAGAGACTATATTAATTATACACTGTTTGGCAGATGACTCAGCCTTCTTATTGACTTGCTCTCTCTTAATTATTAACCCATTTCTATCCATCTGTGTATCTCTTCATCTTCTTGGCTTACTGGAGAATGTCTGGACATCCTACCTTCCCGGTAGCTACATGGCAATTCTCTGACTCTGCCTACTACTTTTCTGTATCCCTGTTTTGAGTACCTGCCTGTCCAAATCCTGCCTGTCCATTGACCAAAACATCTTAATTCATCAACCAATAAGAGAAGCATACATGTACAGCTATAGAAGGACATCCCCATTAGCTATTTCTTTACATTTCATAATCACTTGTTTCTGTAGTTGGCCTGTTGAGGATGAACGGCTGAACGATGCTCCTTAGGGTTGTCAGGGCCCAGGCTTTGACCCTAACAATTCCCTTAATGGTGTATGGGCTAGGACTATACTTATGTGTTTTGATTTGGTAAATTTAGAAGTGTTAATTTTATTTGTAACTTATTTTTACTTACATGTGTATGTTTGCCACCTATGTGCTGGTACCTAGGAAGACTTCGAAGCTAAAATTACAGGGATTCATTAGTCTTCTGATAGGGAGGCTGGGATCCAAATTTTGGTCCTCTGCAAGAACATCAAGTACTTTTAACTGCTGAAATTCCTCTCCAGGCTGAGAAGTGATTACTTCAAAAAGAAAGAAAACCTCCATACCTTACTAATGATCAAAAGCTACAAAATAAAAAAAAATTATGCACAGAAAACATCAATGAAGATGGCAATAACATTATCAGGCACTTCCTGTTTGCGTGTATCTTACTAAGTGCCCCATAAGTTTGATTTCAAACTCAGCAATATTTATTGCCTCTGGAGTTGTAACTCGATGTCCAATTAAATGTGGTTTAAGAAATAAGGAAAATTTATCACTTCATAATTCTGAGGTGTCCTTGGCTCAGTCACTCCTGTCTTTCTGAAGCCGCCCTCAGTGTCCAGGACACACTCCTTTCAGATCAGTAGTATCAGGTGTCAGAGCAGTTTATGTAAGGAAAACAGGTTCCTGGAGTCTCCTCTTACTAATTCTCACTGTGAAAGAAATGTCCCCTCCCTCCGATGCCCCTCCTTGGGTTCCAGTGGCCTTGACTAAGTCTCACATTGCCACAAGGTCAACTGTGAGCACCAGGGTCTGGAATTTGGTGCTGTAACAACCGTTTGACTCTTGGGTAAGGAAAGAGAGAAAGGGGAGGGGGTAGCTCTTGGGGAAGATGCAGACAGCATCACACACAGGTATTTTTCCACTCCCCCTTGAGAAAGAAAGCTGCAGCTTCCAGAAGGTAGATGACAGGGTGCTAATATAGAAGTCTAGACTGTTGAATCCAAGAGCTCAGACCCCAAGTCCAGCTTTCCCAGCTATTCCCCTTTCATCCACACCCTGTTTCGTTATTTATAAAGAGAATGTTGGATTTCCTGTCTTATTGCATTGCAGCACCGATTAAAAACACAAGGTGCATCTAAAGTACAGTGTCAGGTCTGTTGTATGGAACTAACTCACTGTGTAGACCAGGCTGGCCTTGAACTCACAGAGATCCCCCAGCCTCTGCTTCCCAAGTGCTGAGACAAAAAGCATGAGCTTTCCTTTAAGAGTCAGCACTCTTGTCAGCTCATTTAAAATAAGCTGATATTGCTACGAAAACCCTTATAATATATTCAGGAGCTAGAGAGATTGGTTAAGTGGTTAGAGCACTTTTGGCTCTTGCAGAGGGCCTGACTTCAATTCCCAGTACATACAGAGGGGCTAACAACCCTTTGTGACTCCAGTCCCCGGGTATCTGACACCCTATTCTAGCCTCTGTGGGTACTGTATACACATGATACTCAGACATACACACAGGTGGCACAGCCATTTAATGAAATAAAAATAAACAAAATCTCAAAAAAAAATAGGAAGATGTTAGATGGATCTAGCTCCTGAATATATTACAAGGATTTTTGTGGCAAGATCAGCATATTTCAATATTACTGTATTTAAATGAATAGCTTTCACCTCCAGTAGAAAGAAGTCAATCACAATAGACTAGAGTTATGCAAACGACTATGATTAGGGAAGGTGCTAAAGCTGACCTCAACGACAAAGATTGCCACAGTGTGAGAGTGGTGATTGAATACAGTGGCAGATTAGTAGAAAAGATAGGGAGTCCAGGAGCAGACCCAACAGGAGCTGATGAGAGCAGTGAGATCTATTAGCATAAGAGGATTTTAGTAATTTACTTAGTAACAATATTTACTGAATACTTACAACATTATCTCCAGTCACACACACAGCAAATCTCATGTGAGTTTATGGAAACAATGAAGGCACAAAAATATTAGAACAAACCTGAGAGTACTTTTTGGATAATATTCACATGGGTTGAGTCATTCCTTAAAATAAAAAGAAACTAGGGGGAAAAAACTCTCCTGAGAGAAAGAAAGAGGGCAGAGGGAGGGGTAGGAGAGATGGAGGGAGGGAGGGATGGAGGGAGAGGGAGAGAGGGGAGAAAGAGAAACATAGTGTGGTGATACATTGTTTATGATCTAATAAAGCAACTGGAGATCAAAATGCAAAGCTAGCCACAGCCATAGAGCCTTCCCTATGGTGATGTTCAAGCCTGAGCTACAGCTGGGGGACATTTCTGGGTCCATGGCTCTACCACAACCAGGATGTTATATTGATGTCCGTGGCCCTTGACATCATTTGGATGCCAGTGGTCTGGACTAACACCTGGAAAACCTACTTCTGAAAGTTGTCAACTGACTCCCATGCCTGTGCCATGGTGCATGCCTGCACACACACACACACACACACACACACACACACACACACACACACACAAAACACACACAATAATAAGATAAAACTTATAGTAGAGTAGGAACTGTAGATGAAGCATTCCTAGAAATAATGCTTCTACCAGGAATGCTTCAGACAGAAGGCCTCAGCCTTCTGGTCTCTTCAGGAGGTGTGGCAAGTGCAGACATTGGACCAAGGAATGCTGGTCGACTACAGACAGACAAGGTAGACCTTTACAGCCAGGAACCTAGTCCAGGGGCCTCATGAAGGCCCCAAAATCCAAGGTAGTCCAGTCATTCCCAGTAACAGTGGAGGACAGCCTCTCCCAGGACAAGTAGAAGATCCACTGCCCATTGTAAATAATATGGTGCTGGATAATACATTAGCTACAGAGGATGAATCAATTATATCAGGAGGAAATACAAAACATATATTTTGGCGAACTTCTATATAATATCATAGACCCAAGTTACCAGTGAAAGTAAATAATACATTGATTAATGGCATTTTAGACACTGGACATGATGTCACCATTATAAATCAGAAGTCTTGGCCTCTGATTTGGCCTTTAAAAGAGGTAAACGTTCAATTCTTATGGATTGGAACCCTATCTCAAGTTAAACAGAGCGTTAGATGGCTTGACTTTATAGGGCCAGAAGGACAGAGAGGAAGGTTAAAGCCATATGTTGCAGATATTGCTATAAATCTCTGGGGTTGTGATCTATTACAGCAATGGAATATGCAGATCAACATTCTTCCTGTATCAGATAGGAATTATAGACAAGCTCTTGGTGGTAGAAAGAATATAGTAAGTCAGTACAGAAAACAGATGCCAAACATACAGGCTATACAGAAAAAGGATGTTAGTGCCAAACCTATAGAGCAACCAAAAGCTCTACCCTTAAAATGGCTAACAGATGAACCTGTCTGGGTATGTCAATGGCCTATGACATCTGAGAAGTTAGAGGCTTTGGAAAAGTTAGTTCAAGAACAGCTAGATGCTGGACATATTGAGGAATAAACTAGTGCATGTAATACACCTGTTTTTGTTATCAAGAAGAAGTCTGGGAAATGGAAAATGGTTCTTAGAGTCATCAACAAGGTAATTCAGCCTATGGGGTCTCTACAACCTGGGATGCCACTACCTTCTCTAATACCTAAGAATTGGCCAATTATAGTTATAGACTTAAAAGATTGCTTCTTCACTATACTATTACAAGAAAACAACAGAGAACAGTTCGCATTCACAGTACCTACCTATAATAATTCCCGACCAGTAAGAAGATTCCAGTGGAAGGTACTGCATCAAGGTATGTTAAATAGCCCAACTTTGTGTCAATATTTTGTGCATAAACCTCTAGAAATAATTTGTAAAAAATTTCCACATTCGTTAATATATCATTATATGGGTGACATATTACTGTTTGATCCAAATAAGGATAGTTTGGAAAAGGTGTTTGAAGCAGTAAAGGAAGCTTTGCCCATTGGGGATTACAAATTGCCCCAGAAAAAGTATAAAGAGGAGATTCTATTAATTATTTAGGTTATAAAATAGACTCACAGAAAATTAGACCGCAGAAAGTACAGATCAGAAGAGATTGTTACCAGACTCTTAATGATCTTTGAAAACTATTAGGAGAAATCTCTCATCTACAGACAATTATTGGTGTAGAAGGGCATGTAACCTGTTTTTGGGGGGGTCTTAGTTCCCCCTGGCTCTTTATGAAGCATCTCTTTTAAGGTTTGGTTAGATCTTTCAACCACTGCTTGTCCTGTGGGATTGTAAGGTATACCAGTTATATGTTTTATATAGTAATATTTGAAAAATTGTTCCAATTTACTGGAGACATATGCTGGAACATTGTCAGTTTTTATCTTTGCAGGTATACCCATAACAGCCATCACCTCTAAGAGGTGTGTAATAACAGAATTAGCTTTTTCAGAGGTGAGGGCAGCAGCCCATTGGAAGCCTGAGAACGTGTCTATGGTATGGTGTACATATTTCAAACTGCCAAACTCTGGGAAGTGAAATACATCCATTTGCCGAAGTTCATTTCTGTGGATACCTTTAGGATTACAACCTGCTGGTAATGGAGTTTGATTGTAGAATGAGCAAGTGGGGCAATTTCTTACTATTTCACCTGGCTACATGGACAAATTTTTTTTATTTCCTTTATTTTCCACAGGGTCAGTCTCTTGTGTCTCAGGTTGGATCTGAACTCACCGTATAACCAAGGATGACTTTGAAAGTCTCATCTTTCTGCCTCCACTTCACAAGTGCTGTGATTTTAACCCAGGGTCTCGTACATCTAGACCAGTCCTCTAGCAACTGAGCTAGGCAAGCTAAATGCTCAGGAACCTACAGATTGCTATTCTTTGCTAATGAGCATCCCCATTCATTCACTCTGGAGCAAAATGACTCAGAACTCCCTGTATTTGAAGAGACAGGAGAAGTGCTAAGTTAAATGGTAAAAGGTAAAAGGCTCTTCATAACAGTTCTCACTCACAACAGGAAGGCTGGACGTGTGAGGGAGTGTTGATGGAGTCACAAACAGTTGTGAAGCTGAGTGCTTGGAAGGAGAGGCAAGAGCAGCAAACTCATTTGTGCTTTCACAAGTTGACCTGGTGGGGCTTAGTCAAGTGATGCTCATGATCCAAGTTATTAGTTAATGGTTTCTTTAAATGATAGTTGCCTCAGTTCACATTCAATGTGCTAACTGGTAGTGGGGGCCTGCCTAATACAACATGTGTGTGTGTGTGTGTGTGTGTGTGTGTGTGTGTGTGTGTGTAACAGTGTTCTTATCGGATATTAATGGTCAAAATCTAATAAAATTTTCACCTGGATCTCAGAGGAAACACCAGGCTCATGGGCAACACTAGCGATTTGCTTGCTCAGTGACCTAAGGACATCAAGTACTTGGCAGCTTTGAGATTTTGTCTCTGCTCTTTGAACTACTATGAGGAAGGTGTAGCCAGTCATGTGCTTTAATAGTGTAATAGGTGACTTGCAACTGTGCGGGGAAGGAGAGCCGCAGAGGCTGCATTGACTGCCAAAGTCAACACACTGGATCCAATCTCCCAGTAAGAGTCTCGGCAACAGTTTCCTCCATGCCCCATGGCAAACCCCATGTCACAGATGGCCTGGTTTCACCCAAAGCTGGACATGGGTTAGCCTAACTCAGTAGTGTGGTATGTTGTCCCTTTAATCACACGAAGATTTTTGTTATTATTTTCACTGGGTCTCTTCCCCATAATGAGTGCCTTTGATCTCCTTTTTTTTTTTTTTTTGCAGAGCTGTTTGTTAGGCAGATATAGCTTGGCAAAGATCTTGTCTACAGGTAACTCTTGTGATTGTGTCTTAGTTACTTTTGGCTTGCTGTGATAAAACACCATGGCGAAGGCAGTTTACAGAAGAAAGAGTTTATTTTGGCTGATGGTTCCAGAGGGTTAGGGTTCATGAGGACAGAGAAGAAGCATGGTGGCTGGAGCAGGAGACAGAGAGCTCACACCTTCAAGCCACAAGCACAAGGCAGAGAGAAGTCAAACTTGAAATGGTATGGGCCCACTCCCAGTAACATATTTCCTTCAACAATGGCACATGTCTCAAACCTCCCCAAACAATGCTATCAACTAGGGACCAAATGTTCAAATGGCCAAGACTATGGGGATGTTTCTCATTTAAGACAACACAACTTACTAGCAGGAGACACAATAATTGTGCTCGTTCAGGTTTTGAAAAGAATGGCCACTACCACCACCAACCAGGCTCAGGGTTTTGGCTTGGAGTTGCAGTGAGATGGTGTGAAGGAAGCTATTTCTAGAAATAGTAGCATGATGCCCCATGATGTCAGGAGGGTCCAGCTTCACCCCAAGGCCTTGGGATTTGCAAAGGCAAAGTCAAGGGCTGAGGTAAACAACACTGTCTTGCCCTGGGAAAACCCCAGCATGAAGTTGTTGTACTGGAAGATAAATCAGATAGGAGAGCAAGGAGCAAAGGGGATCCATGACTGTTCTTCCTGCAACTCAAAGGAGACAGTCCAGCTTCTACCCCTTTCTAAATGAGACTTCTCTGGGCCGAGCATCAAAAATCGCTAAGTCAAATGGATTATAGACCATATCTCCCAAATGCACATGTGTGCAGAATTAATTCACAAAGCTGAGTTGAAGGCATCCTACCTGATCTATTCTTCCCCTGAATGGCTTCAAGACTAATGCTCCTATACTGCATTTCTCTGCTTTCCTCATTTATGGCCCAACTTTCCCAAGTTTTTAGATGCGTGGGACCCTGCTGAAGCCCCATCCTTGCTACCAGCTTTCTCCAAGCAAAATTAACAGCTTACACACTCTGGTACATCAGGGAGCTACTCTCTCTTGCCACTGCATTTGCAAAGAAATCCCAGTAGCTTCTCTTTTGTTTGAAATATGTTCCCTACAAGCAGCAATGATTCTAAGAGTAGGGTTGTGAGTAGGATTAAACATGTTTTTTTCCTCCTTCCTCTCCCATATTGTGGATTAAATAATGATAGTGCTAGTAGCACAGACATGTGTGTGTGTGTGTGTGTGTGTGTGTGTGTGTTGGCTAGTTTTGGAGCTCGTTTTTTGCTTGTCAACTTGATACAAGTGTTATATCATCTGGAAAGAGGGAATCTCAATTGAAAAATGACTGTAGGTTAATCTGTGGAGCATTTTCTTGGTTAATGATTGATATGGGAGGGCCCTGGCTACTGGGGGTGGTGCCACCCTTGGGCAAGTGGTCTTGGGGGATATTAAGAAAGGTAGTTAAGCATGAGCCTGGAGAGCATAAGCAGTGTTCCTGGTGTTCTGCTTCAGTTTTTGACTCCAGGTTTCTGCATTGGGTTCTTGCCCTAACATCTCACAGTGCTCAGCTGTGACCAGGGAGTTGTAAGATGAGACAAACCCAGGTTGGTTTTAGTCAGTCCTTTATCACAGCAACAGAAAGCCAGATAGGACAGTGTGTGAGCCATTCGACAATCCTCAGAGTGACTCTTTTTTATGGGTATTATCTTTATTTTAGAGAAGGATACACAGATTCATCAAGGTTTATAGATGACTGACTATACGTGTGAACACCCAAAATTCCAAAGTGGAAACTTAATCCACAACGGGATAGTGTTTGAGACTATTGGGGAAGAACGCTCTGCCCTCAAGAGTAGGACTCATGCCATGACTAAAGCTACTTCAAGGAACCTGTTTCCTCTTCTTCCATGCAAGGGTGCAGCAAGAAGGTGCCATTTCCAGGCAACTGGTCCTCACCAGATGCCAGATCTGTTAGTGTCTTGTACTGGCTGGTTTTGTGACAACGTGAAACAAGCCGGAGTCATCAGAGATGAAGGAATCTCAGCTGAGGAAATTCCTCCATGAGATCCAGCTGTAAGGACATTTTCTCATTTAGTGATCAATGTGAGAGGGCCCAACCCCATTGTGGGTATTGCCATCCCTGGGCTGGTGATCCTGGGTTCTCTAACAAAGCAGGCTGAGCAAACCAGGGGAAGTAAGCCAATAAGCAGCACCCCTCTATAGCCTCTGCATCAGCTCCTGCCTCCGGGTCCTACCCTGTTTAAGTTCCTGTCATGATTTCCTTCAGTGATGAACAGCCATGTGGAGGTGTGAGCTGAACATACCCCCTCCTCACCAACCTCATGGTATTTTATCACATCAATAGAAACACTAACTGCTCAATAGAAATCCTTGCCCTTGGACCTCTCAGGCTTCCGAACTGTGAGCAACCACTTCTGTGTAGACTGTCCGGTTTGAGTTCTGTTACCATGGCCCAAGGACACTGCAGTGGTCCTCTGTGTGGCATTCTTGGCTCTCACCCAGCTTTCAGTGTTAGTGAAGTTCTACCAACTGCCACATTTTAATGATGATCAAGTTAACACTTGAAACACATCCTTCAGGTCCAAATTTTGTTTATTTAAAAAAATTGTGTGTAGCCGGGCGTTGGTGGCGCACACCTTTAATCCCAGCACTTGGGAGGCAGAGGCAGGCGGATCTCTGTGAGTTCCAGGCCAGGCTGGACCGACAGCCTCCAAAACAGAGAAACCCTGTCTCGTAAAAACCAAAAAAAAAAGTGTGTGTGTGTGTGTGTGTCTTAAAGCTACTTCTGGAAAAAATAATAATAAAGAGCCAAACAGGGATTATTTAGTGTGACTTCATGGCAGTGTTCCAAGGTGTGGTGGGGCAGATATGTAAGAAAGAGTCCATCCAATGACAAGTTGAAAGAATTTAAAAATACCAATAAAGTCATCCAGAAGCCAGAGTGGATATTCAATATCACTGCATATTTGTTAATTTTTGTTAACACAGCAGTGAAACATTTTTCCTCCTGGGGTGGACCACTCCTCTGGACACTGCCTTGTCTATATGTGGTCTAGCCTGGGGCAGCCACAACACAATTCAGAGGGAAACTCAGCTGAAACACTGAGAATCGCCAAGCAAAAAAAGACTGGAAGACCTTAGGCTTATACTGTCACATGCATAAAAACCTGGAGACAGATATTGGGGTTCAAGCTGAAGATCAGAAAAGCAAAGCATCCAGCCACCAGCTCTTACCTCTACCTCAGGCTTAAAGGGCTGTCCTGTCCTCAGTGGCTGGAGAATAAATCTCTGAGATTGAATACTGAATGCCCCACTCCTATCTTATATTCCTCTCTAGAGCTGGGATTAAAGGCGTGGGATCCCCAGTGCTGAGATCTCCTTTGTGTGAGCTGTTTCTCTGTTTCTCTTTCTGACTGGATCAATGTCATGTAGCTCATTGTGACCTTTGTCTCCGGAGACCTGGGATTAAAGGTGTGTGCCACTACTGTCCAGTTTCTAGAGCTAACTAGAGTGGCTGGTGGAATTACAGGTGTGTGTCACCATTGCCTGACTCTATGGCTGTGTCTAGCTTTGCATTTTGATATCCAGTGGCTTTATTAAATCATAAACAATTTAACATCATATTGTACTTTTGGGGTTTGATTGTTGTTTACTTTTTAAAGTTACTGTGGCAAAATGCAGCTATGGGAAGGTTTTTTTTTATCATTTTTTGAGAGTACAGTTTCATGGCATTAGGTCCATTCACAATGCATACAACCAGGGCTTTACCAAACCAAACTCTTTAACTACTGAAAAATTAACATCCCATTTCTCCCTCTACAGCCCCAACTCTGTCTCTATTACTCTGTCTCTATGAGTTTGCAACAATCATACAATATTTTTCGTTTTAAACATAATGTTCATTTATGTTATAGCATGGGTGAGAATTTTACCATTTTTAAAGTCTGTATAATATTCCACTGTATGAAAGAACCTAGGTCTTGAGTGACCTCATTAAGCCACCACACATTCTAGGGTACCTTATTAAGTTAGATAAACTATACTTCTTATTTAATTAGTTAATTGTTTGCTTGCTTGTTTGTTTGAGACAGGGTGTCTCTGTGTAACAGCCCTGCTGTCTTAGAACTCGCTCTGTAGACCAAGCTGGCCTGGAACTCACTGAGATCTGCCTGCCTCTGCCTCCTGAGTACTGGAATAATTCCTCTTTAGGTCTTGGAGAGCGGTTTATTCAGGCATACCTAATATCCTTCAGTGGCAGCTCCGGGTGGGTGGCACAGAGTACCCAGGATGACAGTTTCCTGGCATGTGACAGAATTTCTCAGAATGGTCGATGTGTGTATCCAAAGCTATGTGTGTGCACATAGACCCTGACCCACGATACGGCCCCCGGCCTCTGTCTCCTTTTTGGTGATCATTTCTTGCTAATTTCAACATCTACAATTATTTGGTACCTAACATTTAGCTCTTTATTTAGTTTTTAAAAATCTGGTCAGCCAGTGGTGGCGCACACCTTTAATCCCAGCACTCTGGAGGCAGAGGCAGGTGGATCTGTGATTTTGATGCCAACCTGGTCTATGCAGCAAGTGTCAGACCAGCCAGGGCTACACAATGAGACCCTGAATAAAAACAAAACCAAAAACCTGAATAAGCATGTATAGATTCTTTTCGGTGACTACCATTAAAAATCAACTATGATGCAACTACACAAAAATATCCATTCATTGTAAGCATGCATTATGTCTTCTGCAATGAGCGCACTATGTATCACCTTATAAACATTTAAGGCTTTGCTGATTGCTTTCTGGCTTCCAGTTTTTCCCATCCTGAGAGAGCACAAAAGCCTTTAGAGAGCCATCTGTCCAACCCTTTCATTTCATAGACAAAGGAGATAGCTGCCCACTGGCACAGTCATCCTCAGTGGCAGAGACTGGCTTGCAAGTAGGTCTCCTGCCCCCAGTGGGCACTTTCTCATTATGTGACATGACTCAGCCTTAGCCACAGACCCAGTTTGTACTTGTTTGCCATGCTCCAGTCTCAAACGGGCTAAGGCTCTATGAGGGACATTTCTTAAGGCTCACATAAGAGGTTATTGGCTTTAAGGCAAACGACTGGGGAATCACACACTTCCCAAGCTCTGTGGATAAAACAGCCCTGGTTACAGACGCCCACTGACAAGGTCAGGGGGCATCTGCGCCTAGTTCCTAGCTACCACGGTCTCGCAATGATGGGTAATTCGTGGCGGGAATTGGTTCCAAACTCCAGCAGAAACAAAACCACCTGTGGCTGCATTGTTTTCAAACGTGTGGTCATTCTGACGTCTACTTCTGACCTCCCATTTGCACATGTCCCAATCTGGCCATCCGTGTTTCTGGGCGACAGCACCAGGATGCTCTGTGGTAACCTTCATGAGAGACGTAGGAAGGAAGGCAGTCAGACCTCTCTCAGCCGTTGGCATTTTCTTCATGTCTTTAGGTGATTTTTTAACTTTGTGTTTTGAAAATGTCTATCATATATGCCTGTTCGTGGCTCAACATAGGAAATGAGCTAAGAATATCCATGAACTATTTTTTCAAAAAACTGCTAGAAACTGACCATCTTGAGTTTATCATCAGAAAGCACCACGATCCTAGGCCTGCAGAAATGTACCTTTCTCGTGCCCCACAGATTTCTTGAAAGGCGACTCACTCATACGGAAGCGTTTCTTCGACGCTGCTTCCTCAAGTGAAGATGAATCATTTCGTTTACAAAACAGGAGGCAAAGCCGGGTGTACACTTCATCTCAGGCAGCGAGCCGTGCTCGCATCACATTTCGTGTCTCTTTCCACACAGTCTGTTGCCTCTCATACACAGACTCCTGAAAAATCCTCTCCACTTGTGTAGAAAAGCCTCGGCTTTCTTCTTCTAAGGCATTGATGATCTGCAGCGCCAAGGGAGTCCTTTCCCGAGGAAGAGGGCTGTTCAGGGGCCGCATAGGTATGACGGAGTTGTACTTGTGTTGCCTGTTCACAGAATTCATCAGCGAGGTGTAGAACTGAAAGTTACACCAGGTGTCTCTCAGAAAGTTCTCAGTCAGTAATAAGATCGTCCAGGCAGACCCATTGACAGCATCGTCTAGATTCTGCAAATGCAGCCTGCCACACGGCATCTCGGCGAAAATTATCCCAGGCCTGATACCAAAGTCATTTTGCAGTAGATTCTGGACCCGGAGGGCCTCGTCGATGTCGTCTTCTGCATGCAGTATCACAAACTTGAGGAAGACTTCTTCTTCAGCCTCCTCCTCAGGCAGCTCTCCCTTTGCCTCAGCTCCCTCCTGCTCTCCCATGGGCTTCTCTGTTCCATTGCTATGCTCCACAAAACCATGCAAGCACACGTCCTTAGAGTTCTTGGCCACTGATTCCTGGCAGTCTTGATCTGCATCCTCACTGTGTCTCTTATGCCAGGAAAGAGGGCAGTTATCTAGTTTTGACTTCCCAACACCCATGGCGGACTTAGGGGGCAGAAGAGGGAGGGTTATTTGAGCCTCGCATTTCTTCACAATCTACAAAGGGAATAACAAAGCAGAATATTATCTGTTTAATCAAAGCATTAAAAAAAAACCTTCGTTCAAACTGAAAAAAAAACAACTCTGTAATATAAGGGCCTAAGAAAGAAATAGCAGCCAATCAAGAAATCAAACTATTAGGCTTTTGTGAGTTTCACAAGGGCTGCCAGGGACAAGGGAACCTTTTTGGTAGCAAACACAGATACAAATGATGCAAATATCCCAAAGATGACTGGCAGTTGCTCTACTGAGTCAGCACCAAGAGATCTGAAATGTCAGTGCTCAGGAGTCACTGCATTGCTGTGGTGGGGAAGAAATTAGGAAAGAACATCATTTCCAGGTAGTCTTCAGAATGTTAGAGAACAAACAGTCGCCCAAGTGACGTTGACATCTCAGTTGGGATCAAAGTCTAGGAATTAAGATCTGCAGCTTTTTCCAGTAAGGCCAACCCAGAATGACATAACTTCCACTCATTCGTTTGTGATCTGAAATTCTGGAATTAGAAGAATTAAACCAACTGTGAAAGAAAAGTAATCCACATGAGTGGAATTTAAATAGCTTCAGAAGATGTTGGCAATGTTAAGTTCAAGGGAAATTCTTTTATCAAAAGACAATTTAGAATAGATGAATATCACTTTCATATTTTGAAATATAATCTATGGGATATATTATTTTTTATTTATGCTCAAAGGCCATATTCAAAAATAAACTAGACTTTTAAGCCTATGCCTTTTCCTAGCTTGCACACATTCTTGGGGCCATCTTTCTCTTTCTTAATTAACTTTCTCTGTTTGTACCACCATATGTGTGCATACAGTCACATCCACAATGACCTAAATAATACAATGGCAAAGTTCCTTATAATTCCGATTTAGAAGAAGTGATGACAGGAAAAACACACCCAGAATCTCATTCTAGTGCATACACAGGCTAAAATCCCTTGCTGCTTCCTCTGGTTAGTGAAGGCATTGATGGTCACTGCTTGTCACTTGTGGTCTTTGTACTTTAAGGATGGCTCCAAGGTGCTAGGTGACCAAGAGGTAGTCTAAAGTGCCGCTCTAAATGTAGCCCACATACATTGCAAACAACAAAATCTAATTGATTTGCCCATTCTTCTCTGGCTAGGATTCACTGCTGCCTTTTGTTACTGGTGAGGGTCTCATGAGGTCACTGCTCACCATGTGTGTCTGTGTTTACTTCACATCTTAAAAAAAGACAGTGATTCTCTCGGGCACATTCCCAAAGGATCCTTCATCCCTCCATAGCAACACTTGCTCAACCATGTTCTCAGCTGCTTTACTCATAATAGCCAGAGATCAGAAAGAACCTACATGTCCCTCAACAGATGAGTGGATTAAAAAAATGTGGTGCATTTATGCAGTGGAGCCCAGTCATTTAAAAAAAGTGAAATGATGAAATTTGCAGGAAAATGGATGGAACTAGAGAAAGTTATCCTGAGTAAGGTAACCCAGCCCCAGAAAGACAAATACAAAAAGTCTTCACTTATATGAGGCTATTAGACATTAAGTCAATGATAACCAAGCCACAATCCATAGAGCCACAGACTTTAGGTATAGAGTAAGTGGGTGCATATAGATGTCCCCAGGAAACGGAAATAGAGTATTTATGAATGGATGGATGGGGCAGGGCGCACTTGAACAGGAGAATCAAGAGGCTAAGGGGAGAGTAGAGGAATATGAGGGAGGGAACATGGGAGAGACAGCTAAAATCAAGGGCCATTTGAGAAACAGTATGGAAACCCAATACAGAAGAAGCTTCCTAAATATATACATGAGTGAAGGTGAGCTAAATGAAATAGCCGAATAATGGGGAGACAGTCCCAAATGTCCATCTCTTGTCATCAAATGAAGCTTCAAGTCCCAGGATTGGTTGTTTCTAATTGAATTGTTGGCTAAAGAGGCCTCAGGGGAACCCCCAAAACAACCCAGGCTATTGCCAAGATTACAGATTGCTCTCCACAAATGGATGGCAACTTGCATTGCTAAAGACAACACCTCTACAATGCACTGAGCATGGAGAAATCAAGTTGGTGCCTACAAAGAGCCTTCACCCCTTTGTTCTAGTGTTTTTGGCATAGCAAGGTACTCTGCATGCTATCAAAGGAGAAATACAAAACACCAAGGCAGACACTAACAGTTTGATCTGCAGTGGTGTCCCGAATGCAAGACAGGCTAGTGTAATGGCGGCACAAAGCTGTGGGAGTGACCAGCCAACATCTGGTTTGACTTAAGACTCACTCTGTAAGATGGAACTCTTACGTGACATTGCTTGGGTAACCATGAGCCTGACACCAGATAACCGAGTGACCTAGGGTAAAACCAAATACTACTGCTCTAAAAATAAAGGCAATAAATAAAAAAATAAAGCACAACAATAAAATGACTCCTATTGACATTTTGCAATCCTAATAGATTAGATCAGTGGTTCTCAACCTTCCTAATGTTACAAGCTTTTAATACAGTTCCTCATATTTTGGTGACCATCAATCATAAAATTACTTTCATTGCTACTTCCTAGATGTAATTTTTGCTGTAACAACTCATAATGTAAATATATGATCTGCAGGTAGTCTTAGGCAACCCCCGTGATAGGGTCCTTTGACCACTCAAAGGGGTCTTAAGCCACAGGGTGAGAACTGATGGATTAGAGAGCTGTGTTCAGCCTCCATCAAAGAAGCTTCCTTCTACAGCACATAGGAACAAATACAGAGACCTACAACCAGACATCATACAGAGAGTGAGAGACCTTGGAACACCCGTCCTTAAAATGATTGACAGCCATTTGCAAATTAAAGTGTAGTTCCTCATTGGGGGAAGCACTACCCTTAAGGATAGACTGCATGCCCAGCAGTAGATGGCCAAGAGAAAACAAACCCAACGACATCTTTGGAGGTTCATTCTTTGTCCATGTCAGGGCTTTTTAAAAAAAATGTATCATTTTAAAATTTACATATATGCACACACATATATGTGTGGGAAAATAGGGCAGAAAGATGAATAAAAGCTCTTGATGAACATTTTGTGTTTAAGTGTGTCTGTTGAGGGAATAAATAGAAAAGACTAATGTATCTTCATACACATTGCACTAACACTTAAAAGCCACATGAGATCATTAAAGGAAAGAGTATAGACAGGAAAAGGAAGTGTCCCAGGGCTGAGCCCTAGGCCCTCCAACATTATGGATGCCAGGAACAGAGAGCGCCAGCCAAGGAGTCTGAGTGGTGGGGAATGTGGAGGGAAAGCAGGAGACTGTGCTGCCCCGATGCCAAGGGGAGAACCAGTTCAAGGGAGTGTATAACTAACTGCCCGGGGAACTAGCACTGAGAAACATGGAGAACAGAGAGAAGTACCATGAGGTGAGGAGACATGGCACAGCCAGGGAGTGATAGAAAAGACCACTTAGGTAGAGCTCACAAAGAAGCCAGAAAAAAGCAATATAGAAAGCCGGGTGGTGGCGCACGCTTTTAATCCCAGCACTTGGGAGGCAGAGGCAGGCAGATCTCTGTGAGTTCGAGGCCAGCCTGGTCTACAGAGCTAGTTCTAGGATAGGCTTCAAAGCTACAAAGAAACCCTGTCTTGAAAAACAGCAAAAACCAAACAAACAAACAAAAGCAATATAGACCCGAGTGAGTGAGTGAGTGAGTGTGTGTGTGTGTGTGTGTGTGTGTGTGTGTGTGTGTGTGTGTGTGTGTGTGTGTGTGCCGGATGAAGGAAAGCCTGAACTGTTATTCCTCAGGAGCTATGCACCACATTTTTGAGACAGTGAGTTGGAGCTCAACTATTGCTGGCCGGCCAGTAAACCCCAGAGATCTGAGTTTGCTGGGATCAAAATGAACACCTCTACCTCTACCTCTTCCTCCTCCTCCTCCTCCTCCTCCTTCTCCTCCTCCTCCTCTTCCTTCTCTTCCTCTTCCTCCTCCTCTTTTTCTTCTCCTCCTGCTCCTCCTCCTCCTGCTCCTCCTTTCTTCTTCTTTTTTAAAACATGGGTTCTGGGGATCAAAACCAGGTCCTCTTGCAAGCACTGTACTTACCGAGTTACCTTCCCAGTCCTAGAAAACCATTCAAAAAGTTTTGTCACAAAGGCCTTGGCAGCCAGGGGTTTGGCCAATGCCAATCTATGAAGGCGATTAACATTTAAGTCAGTAAACTTGGAGTGAATGGGATTAGCCTTCATAATGTAGCTGGGCCACATCCCATCAGCTGATGTCCAGAGGACAGATTCTGCCTGCAGAATGCAGTACAGACTTGAGAGTCAAGAATTTATCAACTTATTATTGTTGTTACTATTGTTGTTTTTCCAAACTTGAGACTGAACCAGCGCCTAACACTTGCTAGGGGGGCACTTTACCACCGAGATTCATTCCCAGCCCCAGCTAAACACTCTCTCAGTCCTCAGTCTGGTTTGCCTTACTCAGCCCTCTGTCCTGCAAGGCAGTCTCTAAAGTTCATTCTACTCCCAGCCTCCACTTATCTGGTATTGGTCCTGCTGTCCAGAAGGAATCCTAACACAGTCCTCCTTGCAAGGCTGGACTTGTAGCTCGGCTGATGGAATGCTCACCTGAGAGTTTCCTGTCATTAAGTTAAAAGTTGATGTTCATCTTTTAAAAACATTTGACTACCTGGTTAGAGGGGCTCTCAAATGGTAGGAGTGAAATAATGATAACAATCTGATAAAATACATATAAACATTAAACTTTCAGTCTGTCTGTGTGTTTACCATGGGAAAGATTATATATTTAAATAAGTACCTTTGAAATTTAACACATTTAAAATCCTAGTATGTCAGTGATACTTGATTTGGAAAACCTTTTTTTCTTTCATATCTGAACAGCACCATCTCGTGGCATAAATATGTAAAATCAACAGCTTCTTGTCCAACTTACGTTTTGCTATTAATAATTAAATCCTTTATTGTTATTTACAGGTTTTGCTGAAAGTTATTCTACACCAAGACTTTGCTGGGCTTGAAGGATGTAA